CTCGACAGCAAGATTTTAGCACTCATATAGAAGGTTGTCGTTAGGGCGAGAAACTCTGTCCGATTAACTCCTCCACGTCAGGGCTGGAAACTAAACACGCGCTCATATGGGCTCTCCAGCCGGCCCAAATGAGCACGTGTTCATTTCCCAGCCCTGACAAGGAGGAGTTTGTCTAAGTGATTGCTCCAAGAATCCTGTAATCCATTGTAGTGGCGGTATGCGATTGAATGAATGGCATGGTGCTCAGTGAGGTGGATTTACGACGGGTTGCGCGGTACCCTTTAGATTTGGCTCGAACAATGGGCAGGTCATAAAAATGCCACGAGGTTGTTCGCAATGACAAATGTCTTTATGGAGACTAGCATCGGGACACTCAATGGGCGGCAGCAATGCTTCACTGCAGAAGAACTTTTAGAGGAACTAGCCGCTCTTGGAGGAACTATCAGGTTTGCAAGAACTTGGAGTGGGATTCTTCAGAAAAGAGCGATTTTCAAATGGGTACTTGAAAATGGGAACGACCAATTTAGCACCAGTCATGCTGAATCGGATAAAAAGCATGAAAATGTCAAGTGCTCGTTGTGACCGGGTTGTTTTGAGGACCGGAACTGCAAAGAAGAGAGAACTACTAAGAAACCAATCTGATCAAGTGGGGTTGTTCAGCCGTCTTACACATTCAAGTGCGCAGTGTCAGGGTTTCATTCGTTCTCTGCCTGATTACTCATCATAATTTTTCTACGGCCTAAATGCAGCTGACCAGATAGCTGGGCTTAATAAAATGATTTAAAAATAATAAAGATCAATTATACCAAATAGCTGCGGTGTAGTGACAAGTGACACCATTACTACGCTCGTTGTGCAGCCTTCAAAGCCTGGATCGGCGTCCACCCAGGCCAACGGTGCCTTCTTCCCACGGGATGATGAATTGGTGGCGAATTCTTCTGAAGGGATAAGAGCACTTATTCGTAATTTGGCTGACCCCCGCACTCGTTGCGTGTGCCACATCGTGTGCCACAAAGTCACTGCTATTCTGGATGGAAATGGGGGTGCGTGGCGCATCCCGAAAAGCGATTGACCAACGACGAAAAATTCATTCCTTATCCCTTAGTTATTGAATAA